GGAGGACGGCAAGTTATTTTGTTTCAGTGTGAGGTACGTATGAAGAGTAGAAGAGAACTAAAGAGAGAGAAAACTAAAACGAAAAGATTAAAAAAGCTACAACCCTATACAAAACCTGTTGGAAACTTTTCGACAGAAATCACCTCATGGAGAATGTTGAAAATAACATTTCTGAACCTCTAGATTTCTACATTTTCTGGGAGCATGGCGGTAGATCTACCCCACAACCTCGCGCCTCTGGCGCTCGTTTTTAACCCCCCTCATGTGAAAATAAGTTCCGCCGTCCCCGTGAAAAGGAATACAGAGACAAACTAAAACAGCTGCCAGTTACGTTTTCGTTCGTGTGATTCTTATTGATCTGTTTTCGTTTCATTTTGAACAGGAAGGAGAAGAGAGACATCGAGTGGATGTTGAATTAAGAAGACTTCAGAAAGAAAACAAAAGACTTCAAGAAGATCTTCGGACGGCCTCGCACCAACTTCGGAAATTTTCCGAGTGGTTTTTTACGTCAGTTGAACCAAGTAACACGTGATACAGACACCATGAATTGTTCGTTGGATAAGTTTCTATTTTTAAATGTTCCTTCATCGTTCGTAGAGTTCATCCTTTTAGAGTATTAGTAAACAATTAACGTTGAGAAAGAGGAAGGTGCTATTATATAAATATCTTAGATTTAACTGGTAAAATAGCCTGTAAGATGTTGTATTTTCATAGCGTTTGATATATAAAAGCAAGTAATATAGGTAAAAAATTTCCAAAATTTTTCATTGGTTGGTTTTCGACGTAGTTGTCCAATTTTAAACGACCGCTGTCTGCGTCATCTAAGGGACCATTCATTTTTTTATTGACTGGGGAGGGGAGGGATGAGTCGGAGAACTTTGGTTGTGTCATAAAATTTACCTGACCCCCCCTCCTAAGGCTCTAATGATCCTCGTTCATCTTTTATAGTCCCCCCTTTTATAATCTGTTAGTGACCACTGATCCCCGTCTGTTCTCCCTGAAAACCATTTGACCCTCCCTCCCAAAAAAAAAGATAAAAAGAAAAAAATCCTCCGACCCCTCCCTTCCAGGCGATAAAGAATGACTGGTTCTCAATTACAATGCTTTCTTCGTTCTTTATTTCTGATATTTATCCTCAACCTTGGTTTTTTTTGGTTGATATAATCCTTTGCGTGTTTATACTTCATGTACTTTTCTTCCTATGGTTGAATTAAATAATTTTTGCTCTTGCTGGTATTTAAAATTCATTCTAATTATACTGGATGGCTTTTTCTGGTTAATGGAACAGGAGGGTACAGTATTCCTAGAAGGACTGTTGTCGGTGAGAGTGATTGACGTTTGGACGTCTTGAACGCAAGAGTTGTGTGCAAGTCTGGTTTGTGAAATGTGATTGGTCAGTTTTTTATTGTTAAACCCAGGTATCTCACGACGATTGTGATTGGTTCGTTTCAATAGGTCGTAAAGGTTGGTCTGTTTTCTCGTTAATCATGGTGACGTTGGGAATAAATTCTTTGTCCGGGAAAGAATTCCTTTTGGATTTGTTTGGGGAATTGAATATGTTATTAAAGTAAATTAAATTGATTATTCAGGTCGCGCTTATTTTTAAATTTTTGTCGGGAAGTGATTCGCAAATGATCAGATTTAAAGGTATTGAAATATTTAACCACAAACAGATTTGTTCTGTGAACAAGCCATTCATTGGTCAATACTACTCTTATCGACAGCTGATTACGTCACTGTCTAGACATTTTCATGGTTTTTCTTTGGCCTTGGGAATCTGATCGATTTTCACAAAATAACCTACATACTTGTTACGATAACCTATACAGCATTATAATATATATACATTTGGTCTTTATTTTTAACATTTATATATTGTTTGTTAAATATAACAACTATCCTATTTATAACGTTGGATTTCAAGTATTTTATAGTTCCATTTCCCTTGCGATTTTCGGCATATTTTATAACAGAAGATATGACTCGTCACATTTTAAAATTCGGGGTTTTAAAACTGTTTTTATTGTGTCATTTGTGCTGAAAGCTCACCCAATTGTATTGAAGGTATTTGCAGCTTTCATTCCTCCAAATCCTAATCCTTATTAACGTGTAAGGCATCACAGCAATTTTCGATCGAGTGTCGCAAATAATCCAATTGCTTTGGTTTTGCTTTTCTTCGCGCTAGTCTGTCAACCAATCACATGTAGAACTAAAGCAATCATGACTTGGCTATCCGCGATTTCGCGCGCTTTAGGCAGTTTGGTTGTTGTTACTTTCTCGTTAGCTTTTTAAAGGTATTTTCCTCTCTGAATGGCCTTCGTAGTTACTCTAGTTTTTGTTTCGTGACGTTCAATCTAAGTGTTCTGTCTAGTTAACGGATAATGGGGTAGGCCAACATAACTAAATCTCCAATTCATTTACAGTTAAAAGTTCACTGCTGCAAAGGAGATTTTTTACTTTGGTCCAGCGCTTATGTTTCACAGGGAAAACTGTTGTTATGTTAGCTTCACGTCATATCTAAGGTGCTTAATGACTTCGTGTTAATTTTTCTCTTAAGGTAGTTTTTATCAAGTCATCTTTATCTCTTGCCTTCATTTGCTGGAAAACCGAGTGGGAGAATCAGTTTCAGACCAACATTTTGTTCATAATTTCTGAAAGATATCTGATCCTGATGATGGATTGAATTCAGGAAGTACTAGGCTTTAATGATCATGCATTTCGGGTGGGTGAAAAAGGAGCTTAGCAATTTCTAAGAAAGATAGCGAAGATTCGCAAACTCAACGGAGGGTCGCATTTTGTAAAGTTTCTAAGTAAATGACCATCTTGTACACAGTTTCCGGAAAGAAAATAAAGAGAATTTGTAGAAACTTTCGTCAGATGTTCTTTATTCTCAATCTTCATTTAGTAAAGGATACCAGTGTTCGTCCGTTATCTTCTCCCCCCATTCCCCCCCTTTCCCCCCACCGCCTTTCCAGATCACTTTCTGCAAGCCCGTTTTATTAAACACAGTGGATCTTCTAAGTCCACAAAAAAGCCCTGACTTTCATAATTGCACAAAATATACAGGTAAACAAACTCTTCCTAACGAGCTAAAAATTTTGTCCCAGAATTCCGCCTCTTCACGAAGATACAAACACATGAATATTGAAACAAAAATTCGTTACTAAGCTTTTGTTAAGACGTTGGAACAGCGAGCGAAATCCGGTGTTCAAACTCATTAACAAAATGCTATTGTTTCAATATTTAGAGGGGGTTTTCTCGGCCCACAAAAGAGCTGTAACTTTGTTGAGATACAAATTGTTGCAAAATCCTTTTCACGGAGATATAAACGTGTGAATATTGAAACAATAGAGATTTGTTGATGAGCTTTTGGTGAGTTGTTAGAACCAATGGCTAAAAGAAGTTTTCAAACTCATTAAAAAATTTCTCTTGTTTCAATATTCAGAAGAGATTTGAAGTTGTCCAGGAATTCTCCTTTTTCGCAGAGAGATAAAAGCATGAGCAAAATTCTACCGTTTTAATATTAAGAGAGAATATTCTCGGCCCACAAAAGAGCTGTAGCTTTGACACTTGCACACAATACTCAGCTAATCACGCTCTTTCTAACGAGGTATAAATTGTCCAGGAGTTCCTCTTTCTCGAAGAGATATAAACTGAATATCGAAAGATTAGAAATTCTTTAATGAGCTTTTGGTTAATCTGGAAGAACCACTGGCAAAAACTAGCTTTCAATGTCATAAACAAAATTCTATTGTTTTAATATTCAGAGAGGATTTTGTCGACCCACAAAAGAGCTTTGATTAGCTTTGAACGGCTTGCACACAATACACAGCTAATCACGCTCTTTCTAACGGGCTATGAATTGGCAAGGAGTTCCCCTTTTTCGCAGAGATACAAAAGCATGAGCAGAATTGTATTACTTAATATTCTATAATTTGTCCTGGAAGTTTTCTTTTTTGAGTTTAAAGCTCGTTTTAGCCAGTCGCTTTCCATATTAACCAAAACCTCATTAACGAATTTTATTGTTTTCATAATCAGAGAGGATTTTCTCGGCCCACAATGGAGCTGTAGCTTTGACACTTGCACACAATACACAGCTAATCACGCTCTTTCCAACGAGCTATAAATTGTCCAGGAATTCCTTTATATGCGTCTATATATCTACGAATCCTCTCTGAATAGCAAAACAATAGCCTTTTGCTGTGGGTTCTACCAGATAAACAAAAAGCTCATTAATGCATTTCTATTGTTTTCATATTCAGAGAGGATTTCCTCGGCTCTCAACAAAGCTGTAGCTTTGACACTTGCACACGATACACAGCTAATCACGTTCTTTTCACCAAGCTACAATTTGTCCGGGAATTCCACTCTTTCGAGGTTAAAGCTTGTTTTTGCTAGTGGCTCTTGCAGATTAACCAAAAGCTCATAAACAAATTTCTATTGTTTAAATATTCAGTATCTTCTCGACCCACAATAGAGCTGTAGCTTTGACACTTGCACACAACACACAGCTCAACATACTCCTTCTAACGAGCTTTAAATTGTCCGGGAATTCTCCTTTTTCGCAGAGATATGAACGCATGAGCAAAATTCCATTGTTTTAATGTTTAGAGAGGATTTTCACAGTCCAGAAAAGAGCTGTAAGCTTGAAACTTGCACACAATACACAGCCAATCACGTTCTTTTCAATTTATAGCTCGCTAGAAAGACCATGATTAGCTGTGTATTGTGTGCAAGTGTCAAGGCTAGAATTATTTTGTGGGCCGAGAAAATTCTATCTGAATATTAAAATCATACATTTTTTTATTTCTACCTTTATCTCTCTGCAAAAAAGGAGAATTTCTGGACAACGAATAGGTCGTAAGAAAGAGTGTGATTAGTTATGTATTATGTCGAGGCTTCAGCTCTTTTGTGGGCCGAGAAAATCTTCTCTGAATATTAAAGCAATAAAAATTCGTAAATGGGCTTTCGGTTAATCTGGAAGAGCCACTAGCTAAAACGAGCTTTAAACTCGAAAAAGAGGAATTCCTGGACAATCTCTAGCTGGTTGAAAAAAACGTGATTAGCTGTGTATTGTGTGTAAGTGTCAAAGCTACAGCTCTAGTGTGGGCCGAGAAAATCCTCTGTGAATGTTGAAAAAATAGAATATTTCTCATGCCTTTATCTCTCCACGAAAAAGGCGAATTCCTGGACAGATTCTAGCTCGTTGAAAAGAGCGTGATTAGCTGTGTATTCTATGCAAGTTTCAAAGCTACAGCCCTTTTAAGGGTCAAGAAAATACTCTCTGAATATTAATATTAAAACAATAGGAGTTTGTTCATGAGCTTTTGGTTTATCTGGTAGAACCAGCAGCGAAATGCTATTGAATAGCTATTCAGGGAGGATTCGTAGAGATATAGACGCATATAAAGGAATTCCTGGACAATTTATACTTAGTTGGAAAGAGCGTGATTAGCTGTGCATTGTGTGCAAGTGTCAAAGCTACACGGCTCTACAGTGGGCCGAGAAAATCCTGTCTGAATATCATTTAAAACTAATTAAATTCGGTAATGAGGTTTTGGTTTGTCTGGTAGAACCAGCTGCAAAATACTATTGTTTTGCTATTCAGAGAGGATTCGTAGATATCTGGACTCATATAAACGAATTTATCGACAATATATAGCTTGTTAGAAAGAGCGTGATAAGCTGTGTATTGTGTGCAAGTGCCAAAGCTACAGATCTATTCTGGGCCGAGAAAGTCCTCTCTGAATATTAAAACAATAGAAATTTGGTAATAAGCTTTTTCTTTAACTGGTGGAACCAGCAGCAAAATGCTATTTCGTTGCTATTCAGAGAGAATTCGTAGATATATAGACGCATACAAAGGAATTCCTGGACAATTTATAGCTCGTTGAAGAGAGCGTGATTAGCTGTGTATTGTGTGCAAGTGTCAAAGCTACAGCTCTAGTGTGGGCCGAGAAAATCTTCTCTAAATATTAAAACAATGGAAATTCGGTAATGAGGTTTTGGTTATCCGGCAGAAACAGCTGCAAAATGCTATTGTTTTGCTATTCAGAGAGGATTCCTAGATATATAAACGCATATGAAGGAATTTCTGGACAGCAAAGAGCTTGTTGGAAAGATCGTAATTAGGTGTGTATTGTGTACAAGTGTCAAAGCTAGAGTTCTATTGTGGGCCGAGAAATTTCTCTCTTAATATTAAAACAATAGAAACTTGGTAATGAGCTTTTGGTTTATCTGGTAGAACCAGCAGCAAAATGCTATTGTTTTGCTATTCAGAGAGAATTTGTAGAGATATAGACGCATATAAACAAATTCCTGGATAATTTTTAGCTTGTTGGAAAGAGCGTGATAAGCTGTGTATTGTGTGCAAGTGTCAAAGGTACAGTTCTATCGTGCACCGAGAAAATCTTCTCTGAATATTAAAACAATAGAAACTTGGTAATGAACGTTTGGTTTATCTGGTAGAGCCAGTAGCAAAATGCTATTGTTTAGCTATTCAAAGAGAATTCGTAGAGATATAGATGCATATGAAGAAATTCCTGGACAATTTATAGTTCGTTAGAAAGACCACAGTTCTATTGTGCGCCAAGAAAATCCTCTCTGAATATTAAAACAATAGAAAGTTGGTAATGAGCTTTTGATTTATCTGGTAGAACCAGCAGCAAAATGCTATTGTTTTGCTATTCAGAGAGAATTTGTAGATATATAGACGGATATAAAGGAATTACTGGTGTATTCATAGCTCGTTGGAAAGAGCGTAATTAGGTGTGTATTGTGTGCAAGGGTCAAAGCTACAGTTCTATTCAGCGCCAAGAAAATCCTCTCTGAATATTAAAACAATACAAATTTGGTAATGAGCTTTTGGTTTATCTGGTAGAACTAGCAGCAAAATGCTTTTCAGAGAGAATTTGTAGATATATAGATGCATATAAAGGAATTCCTGAACAATTCATAGCTCGTTGGAAAGAGAGTAATTAGCTGTGGATTGTGTGCAAGTGTCAAAGCTATAGTTCTATTGTGGGCCGAGAAAATCCTCTCTGAATATTAAAACAATAGAAATTTGGGAATACGGTTTTTGTTTGTCTGGTAGAAGCAGCAGCAAAATGCTATTGTTTTGCTATGCAGAGAGAATTCGTAGAGATATAGACGCATTTAAAGGAATTCCTGGACAATTTATAGCTCGTATTCCTGAAACTTTCACCTCTCATTTTTGTAAAAACTAAAATTTTTCTAATCGTTTCTGGGATTTTCCGAGGTTAAAATATCTTTTAAACCGATGTTTCGACCAGTTTTACTGGTCTTAGCTTCCTCAGGTGAACCTGAGGAAGCTAAAATTGGTCGAAACGTCGGTTTTAAAGATATTTTATCCTCGAAAAATCCCAGAAACGATTAAAAAAAATTTAGTTTTTAATTTATAGCTCGTTGGAAAGAGGGTAATTAATTAGCTGTGTATTGTGTGCAAGTGTCAAAGCTACAGTTCTATTTTTGGCCAAGAAATTCCTCTCTGAATATTAAAACAATAGAAATTAGTTAAGGAACTTTTGGTTTATCTGGTAGAACTAGTAGCAAAATGCTACTGTTTTGCGATTCAGAGAGAATTCTAAGAGATATAGATGCATATAAAGGAATTCCTAGACAATTTATAGCTGGTTAGAAAGAGCGTAATTAACTGCGTATTGTGTGCAAGTGTGAAGACTACAACCTTTTTGTGGGCCGAAAAAATCCTCTTTGAATATTAAAACAGTAGAATTTTGCTCATGCATTTATATCTCTGCTGAAAAAGGGAATTCCTGGACATTTTATAGCTCGTGAGAAAGAGCGTGATTAGCTGTGTTTTGTTTGCAAGTGTCAAGGCTACAGCTCCTTTGTCGGCCGAGAAAATACTCACTAAATATTGAAACAATAGAAACTCGTTAATGAGCGTTTGGTTAACATGGAAGAGCCACCAAGTAAAACTAGCTTCAAACTCGTAACAGAGGAATTCCTGGACAATTTATAGCTAGTTAGATGGAGTGCGATTAGTTATGTATTGTGTGCAAGTGTCAAAGATACAGCTCCTTTAATGGGCGAGAAAATTCTCTCTGAATATCAAAATCACAGTATTTTTCTCATGCCTTTCTCTCTCTGCGAAAAAGAGGAGTTCCCGTTCAACTTACAGCTCTTCAGAAAGAGCGCGATTAGCTGTGTATTGTGTGCAAATGTGAAAGGTACCACTTTTTTTTAGGACGTGAAAATTCTCTCTGAACATTAAGAGAATTGACATTCGTTAATGAGCTTTTGGTTAATCTGGAAGAGCCACTAGCTAAAACGAGCTTTAAACACGAAAAAGGAGAATCCTGGACAAATTAAAGCTAATTAAAAAAAGCTCCTTTAATATCTTTTATCGTTTCGACATTCGGAGGTGAAAAATCTTAAAGTGCACCTAAACCCAAAGTTTTTTTTCACTTAACGAAATAAGCTTATTTTTTGGAGTATTTCTGTTCAAAAATTTTTTATTTGCTTAAATCTTCAATTTTCTATGCCCAGTCAAAATACGAAAAATCGGCCGCCATCTTGCCCCATGACCGAGTTTAAAGAGGAATGGCTCTAGCGGGTAATGTGACGTCAAATCGAGAACACGAAAGTCTTCATTTCACACATTTTCACTTGTTTGGTAAGGTTGTGTCGATATTGTCCGAAAATATGCCGACTAAGTGTGTTGTAGGAGGATGTAGCAACGTGCAAAATTTGCCAAGAGGGTATCGCGCTTCATACATTCCTCATACAACACACTTAGTCGGCATATTTCGGACAATATCGACGACAACCTTCCCAAACAAGAAAAAATGTGTGAAATGCAGACTTTCGTGTTCTCGATTTGACGTCACATTACCCGCTAGAGCCATTCCTCTTTAAACTCGGTCGTGGGGCAAGATGGCGGCCGATTTTCCGTATTTTGACTGAGCACAGAAAAAAAAAATTTCAGCAAATAAAAAATTTTTGCACACAAATACTCCAAAAAATACGCTTATTTCGTTAAGCGAATAAAAAATTTAGGGTTTAGGTGCACTTTAAGGCAAAATAAAGAAATGACTCCTATCATGGTATTCTAAACCTTTTTATTTGCATATTCCACGAAAACTACCATGTGCAATGTGAATTTATCATGACTCATTTAGTCTATGACAATTTTACCTATTTTTTTCCTAGGTGTTAAAAAACGGTTAATAAATCAAGTGGGTTGCTTTAATAATATTACGAAAGACTTCTAACTTCTTAAATGGATAAATATTAAAGCCAAAGACTAGAAGCTGCTCTTAAAACCTGTACTTAACGTCATGAGAGCCAAACTCTCACAGCTCTGGTCTATTCTAAGTTATACCATGAGATAAAAGAGATACCTTTTACACTTTCCTTTGTTAACAATTTTCATGGTTATATCCATAGCTTTGGCAGATTCGGAACTTCAGGTAACGGGGGGAGGAGGGATGGAAGCAGAAAAGAGTGGGGGTGGAGATGCAAGTCAAGGGTCTCCATCGACACAAAGTAAATTCAGGAAGAAAGACCTCGTGTTTGGGGGTTCCGCCATTCACTCCTTATCTGCCATCACTAGTATAAACTATTTTAACCACAACTAAATGACGATGATAATCTTTTTGCGAATCTAGAAAAGTTTGTGTTTCATCTAAGTTCAATGTTTCGTATAAGTTTTTTAAAAGCAGTAACAATTAGAGCTCTACTTATGAAGGTTAGTTTGCCTTTGACCTACGGCCTCATAATCGCGATCATACAATGGTAAGTCATTTGCAAAATATGAAAAAATGTAGCAAAATTATCAGGCTAAATGTGGGTAACTTTACGTAATGTAGGAAACGGCTGCAAATGTGATAATGAGACAATATTTACAATGTAGGGAACACAACAGGCTCCTGGTCTGATAAGAGAGTCCAGCATTAGCTTAAAATATTGACAGTGACGACAGATTTGGGATAAAGACGCATACATTCCTTCGTTTGGTTTAAAGGTCCGATGTAAGTCCAGGTGCAAACGCTGATTGCATTAACATCGTACCTCTGAAACAGGTTCTACATTCTTCGCGAAAGAAACTTCAAAGTTCAGAAACACCCATGGGGTAAAAACACTAAGCATCTACACAAATAGATAACTCAGTTGTGCGCTGCAGTAAAGCGGAAAAGACTTAATATCGTTAATAACAATGTTGTTCAGATTTCGTGTTTCGATGCTTATGTCCTAAGTTCGGTAGATCTGTGCATGCTCTGACCGTCAAAAGTTTCATGTCATATCTTCTTAAGAGTAGCTTTTGAGTAAGTGTTGTCAATAAATGCCTCACTAATGCTGACCGTATAGTTCCCGCACAGCTCTCATCACAAGCTTCTCATGTCACCTCCACTCACCCCCATACCTATTATATTTACGTCACTTGGACTCTGTCCGTTGCGCCGTTTCAGTTCTTCCAGTTTCTTGTTCCAAGCGACGTAAAATCGTTGAACCTCATTCATCATGGCCTCCTCGATTTCTGCGCACTGCATGGCCACTAGGTTTTCGTAAGAGGTTTCTGGCGTCACGATTCGTTCAACCTCTGAAACAAAATGGTAAAAAAAAAGCACGATAATTGGACATCACATGTACAAAATAAAATCAGAGTCGCTGCAATACCAGTCTGCCTCTATGAGTGAGCGCTGATTAAGATGCCTTCTGTTGCTTCACTTTTATCTTAGAGATATGTTTAAGTGTATTTTCCTGTGTGATTTTTTTTAGCCAGGCGTTAGAATGTATCAATGAGTCAAAGTTGCCTACCTGTCTTTGCTTCTTTAGGCTGACGTGGTCGCCAATAAAGGAACTCCCAAATGAGCCCGCAGATGGTCAGCGCACCTACAAGTCCGATGCAAGTATAGATAGCTTTCCTGAACATTGGTGACTCGGCATCAAACAGGTTGTTCGTTTTCTCCACGGCTGCGCTCTCCCCAGGTTCCTGAAAGTTTTTTGTTCGAAAAATAATAACTTCAAGTTTCAAATACACTTCTTGTCATTGAGCGTAGATAATCGTGAGTGTAAACCGAACACTAAACTGTGCATGGGCTTCATCTTTTAGCCAATGGGAGGGCAAGGAAAAGGGCCATCGTCACATGATGGTCTCATGAAAAAAAATAATTTTGCTCCTCGAATAGTGGTTCTTCCAGAGTTCAATAATCTTTTTTAGCTCGCGAGTTAGAATTCGAACTTCCCTCCTAATAGCTAAGCTATTGGGCAAAACAGCATTTATCAGTAGGAAACATTCATAGCAAGGCGACGAAAGAACTCAGTTCCCCATACCACCGGATCTTTTCTTTGTGTCTGTGCGATGACTATATTTGTATTTGTAATATTTAGACAAGCTGGCCCAGTTCAGCTCAAAGCTGGTTTTAAAAGGGGGCCTGTATAAACAATGACAAGGCAAGACCACAACACCGGGAGCTACGTTCCCTACTCTTTGCGAATAGTGTGTGGGTGCTTAAACGTCCTTTCTAAGCAGTACAGAGAAGATGCAAAATACAGGGTCTACGGATTTTCGTCTTTAACCGAGAGGACTACCAAAGTCTAACCATTTGATGATATTATAGAAAAGGCAGCACATTTTTCTCAGTTAGTTTAAGACTGTTGGGTCCGGTCTGGGACTTGAGCCCTCGACCTCCCGCACGGCAACCCGGCGCTCTAAAAACTGAGCTAATCGAGCGTGGTTTGAAGTATTGACAGCTTAAAGTACTGTATTAGTTACTTGAACTGATGCTTAGCCCGTTAAAGGTTATCCCCCTCCCAGCTTGTCGGTGTGGAAATTAACCCCTAAGTGGCGAGAGGCGCGCGAGTGACAACAACCTTCGAACCAAACCATTGACTTGAACCGGAGTCCAACACAATAACCCTCATACCAACTTCTTCGACGAACTTCTTCTGATTGTCATTGTAATATGGAAGAATCAAACATCAAATAGTTCAAATTAAGGGACGTGAATCCTTTCAAACTAAGAGACGTGAACCATTTACCTCCATAGTTTTTGCCTGCTTTTGGATGATTTGCGTTATTTTGGTTTCCATGCTGTTAAGCTTCTTCCTAATACATTTTTCAGCATTCTTCAAGGCACCAGCGATAACGAAGCCATATGCAAACTGATGATCGAGCACAGTCCCCACGCGGAGGTCCGGGTTTTTTAAAACAGGGTTTTCTGCTACCTTGGCCCAGTAGCCTGCGACATAACTGTCCAGTAGCGCTCCAGTAACTTTCGGATCCTGCTTTATAACAGCGTCTTTGAGTTCACTGACGCTGTTTAGTTCTGAAATGTCAGAATCTATGCGTAAAGCTCCATCATTAATTATTTTAACAGCAATTCAGATCTAACACTGTCGCAAGATTTATGCCCGAATGAACACAAAATATGACGTCTCCTCTTAAGCAAAGAATGACGATTACATCCAGCTGGACAAAGCAAGAGATCTGCTGAATTGAACTGTAGAATGGCGGATGCCTTTTTTTTTTTTTTTTTTTCCACGTGGTGGTTTCTTACTTTGTAAACGACCAAAGTGCAGTTATCACACAAGAAATCTTATCACCAACCTGAAACTTTAGCATTATTTCGTACACCAAGCCTTTGCTCCTCTGTGTTCTTCAAAGCGACAACCTAAAAGATATCAACCATTAGAGACTCCATGCGAAATAATTGCATAAGTGGATAGATAGGTCTGCGGATAAAACCCTTATTTGTCACCTTTTAGATGAAAGCAACTTAGTAAGACTTTTGACTTGTGTTGCAAATTATGGAGACCATCTTGGAGGTAATCCAAATGACTGGTTCATTTGAACCACGTGGTACAGAATACCCTACTCTGATTGGCTGGATACCATAATACCCCAGTCTATGTCCGTGGATGAAACCAGTCAAATTTTAACAAATTCATTTTCAAATATTCCTATTCTTAAGTGTAGCTACTTTACTTACGTCAGATCCGTACAGTTTGATTTCGTTGCTAAGCGATATGGCGGTGAGTGACGTTGTGACTGTGGCGGTAAAGATTGATATGATCACGAGACCGATGAGAACCCAGATGAAAGCAAACGTGCGCGCCAGCACTGATCGTGGCGCGCGGTCACCATACCTGAAAGATGAAAAAGGCGTGATTAAACTTCTAGTTTTCATTTTTCATTTGTTTGATCTTAATTGATTTGATGTTGAAACTGAATTAAGTTTTAAATTAGAGTCTTTTTTCTGCTGTTGAGTTATGGATCATAGTTGTACCCACACAGCTGTGCTATGGGTGTAGAATTATGATTTCGCTTGAAAACCCGTATCAGTTCCGAGGCCAATAAGTTTCGAGGCCAATAAGACCCGAGGCCAATAAGACGCAAAACCAAAATAAATCCTCACGTGATCATGATTGGCAGTCAACTACTCAGTTTAACTGAACCCTCCTATTCCCTCAAGAAACATCCGTCCCCCACCCCTGGCAGTCAACTACTCAGTTCAATTGAACCCTCCTATTCCCTCAAGAAACATCCGTCCCCTACCCCCGGCGATGAATAATGCACTGGTCGACAATTAAGCCCCAAAATGTTGTTTAAAGTAATGCACAACTTCCTCACCCAACAGTTGTCATGGATACAAACGCCCACCAGAAACCTTCCCATGTCCCTTTGAAGAACGAGCGCGGGAATTCTTCAGGATTCCAGTAGGTGTCCTAAGATGGAAGGGAAGCATCTTGAAGAGGAATTTGTAGGTACTTCTTAATGAAGTATAATGTAATATCGCAATTTTATGTTGCAGTTTTATGTATCTCTGTTCAATTCACGATATTCAAATAAAAATGATAACAATAAATCATATTTTTGTAAACGAAATACTTAATGACGCTGCTTTCACTCTCAAGAATAAAGCAGAATTAGAAGAATTAAAACAGAAATTTACATCAATTCTTGAATATTTTTAGATCAAACGTCATATGTTCTGGGCCAGAATTATAGGAAATGCACGGCACATAGGGCTGAGAATTGATATTGAGAAAGAAGGCCTCATGTACTGACCAGTGCCCAGACCACTATGCCAGACAGCGCGGCCATAATGAGCGTGAGGAGGAGGACGGGCCATCCTTGGAAGACAGCCTCCATGACAGCCTGGGCAGCATTAGATGAATCCTCCTTTTTCACGATGAACACGACACCGGGAGATTCAACGACTGGGTAAAATGGATGGTTTTGAAACGTCACGTCCTTCATGTCTCCATATATGGGCATGCTGATCAGTGTGCCTGTTTTTGTAAATAAGTTTTGTTCTTTCATTTTCAAGTTTATTTTGGTTTATCATTTTATCATTTCAAGGGCAGTATCTATTTCTCTTGTTTTGATATTCCCTACTAGTATCTAGAAGGGAATATCAAAACAAGAGATAATACAGTACTCGAGGAAATAATTTCTTTGAAAATTGGTAAAATGCTGCGTGAAAGCTTTAAGCCTGTTGGGAATTAACAAGAATACGACATAAATAGGTGTAATCGGTGTGAGTTATTAAGGGATGTTTTTTTTTTCTTTTATCTCTATTACCTTTGCCGTCTCCAGTGCTTATTTGAATTAAAAAACCAAAATCAGCACGGAAAAGGCTAATTAGATAAAGTTCAGAGGAAAGTAAAATAGAGAGGCAAAATAAAAATAAGTCGCAACAAAGTAAGTAACAAGATGTATGTAGATGTACCGTTCTTATCGATTTGCTTTTTAACCACCTCAGAGTCATTGGAGGGAACTTCACTATAATTGAGGTGAACACAGGACGGGACGTTGGCGTCCGAGTTTGAGTTGTCCTCACTGTCACAGCACTGTCTTACAAGGTCCTTCAAAATGTCTGGAAAGATGCCACTCACTCCATTATTTGGGTCTTTGTAAATGTAGGGTGGAATCTCCCACCAGTCTATTTTTAGTGACATAGGACATCTGTTATTTACTTGCTTTTGGCAACTTGTGGCTGCAATGACAAAATAGATCGTGCTGTTATTATTTAGAATTTGTGTTCACTCATTTCGCTGCAAAGCAATAGGAGACTGTGAATGGTAGTATTCACAATTTCTTCGTCTGAAAGAATTAGGACCAAACTTTTCAAGCCTTTGATTTTCTTCTATTGTAACCTTGGCCCAACTTAATCTCCTCGTGCATGTTTAATCAGGTCATTAGCTAAGGTTTTGTTCTGATATTTTGAGCACTTATGTATTTTCTCAGATCATTCAGAGTGAGTGGTCGCTTGGCAACCTAACGTTTGTCACTGATAAAAAATGTAAACCACTGTGGACAAGGACATTATTGCGTAGAAAGGAAAAAATTTCATTAATGTTCCTCTAATATTACTTGTACGTTTGCACTGGTTCTTCGAAAATGTGAAAACGCTTAAATTGTTTGAGAAAAAAAAAAAAGAACAAAAAACTGAAGTTATTTTGGAATAGCGATAGTCAATATTGACTGTGGTATGTTAGATTCCATTCAGAGAGGAGGAAACATAATATTCTCTCCTTTGATACGCTCTCTGCATTCCTACTGTTTGAAAAAGATCATGATCATCATATAGTTTTATTTACCGCTGTTTAGCCTTTGCAAGTTCTAAACTAGAGTGCCCACTCTTTAAGATTACAATTGCTCTACACAGTTAAATACAAAACATTTAACTCTTTGTGTCATCAAAACTTACCGATGTCTCTATTTCAACTGTCAATTTTTTTTTCCGATGCAAATTGACACATGCAGTTATCTGAAAAGTAATACTACCATACTTTTTTACTCGCGCGGGCTAATTTGGGTGTTCCAGTTATATCGGTGGTATTTCTTCAAATAGAACTTTTTCTCTTTTATTTAATACATTATTTTATAGGCAAATTTCTAGGTGGAAGTTTTTTTTTATTTTTTTTATTTTAAACAGTTTTCATACAGGTGGATTTTCAAACGACTGTCCTTAGCAAAAAGATGACGAAGTACACTCAGCTATCTAGCCAATTATCGGCCGAGAGCATAATGAAAATATTGCCAAAATATGTTTAGCAAATCGACTTTCTTCTTTTTTACTTTCGACGTTTGTACAGCTCGATATCTCTATGAAATACAATCGTATCATTTCCGTTTGTGCATAAGCGCAGGGCTTTTACAATATTCCAGTATCAAGTGTCCTACAACTTCCTGTTATATTACCAACCACACAATATTAGCAAGCATAAAAACTTCCCTACCGTTTTATATATTAACATTTGTATTGATTTGAATCACCCAAGAGAAGATAAAGAGTACCTCGACCATCTTATGACAAAAACGGCGATGTATCTTAATTAATCTCATGGTTTCTACCATTGATTAAAGGGTGACTTTAATCAAAAATGAACTTAACTTACTCCTCAAGAACCGTTATCCTCTTATCTGTTGGTGTTTCATTCGGCTTTTGTCAGTAAAGAATTTTTGAAAACGTGTTCGAAATCGTAAGGGGGTCTCGATGGGTTAAAATATGCCAAAAACATTAAGCTGTTAGGCATAAAAATTGACCAATTTTAACCGTTAGTCGTGAAAAATGTCTTGTGATCGCAAGGGAAAGACATAAACCGTTAGCTGTAAATTGGCCAAATATTTAACCGTTAGCAGTAAAAGCCATCACCCCGTGGAGACCCTCTTGGAAGAACCGAAAAGAAGTAATTTTGACTATTTTCAAGAATTGTCTAATAAATTCTACACTATTAGGTAAACCTGAAGAACCATTCCAAACTATCGAGGAATAAAAAAAAGGGACGAAATTGAATTTTTTATATCATAAAAATTCTCATTATCTCGTGTGTTTTCACTACCTTTGGGGAAGATATACGAATATTAATTATTAAAAACGAGAAAATTTTCTAGTGGATTTGTGTAAGCTCTCTGATTCGGAAGAATAACACGTTAGCATTTAAGTATGTTGTACCTAAAACGAATGCCAAATTTCACGGAGGAAGAATTTTTCCAAAAGGTTTTAAAGAAAACTTAAAGATTCGACGATGACTTTTCTAGAAGTCATCGCCAAAGCGAAAATAAACATTGGCCGCGCTTTGGGCAATAAGTTATACCCGTTCACCGAACAAAGTTGAAAATCAGTCAGAGAATTGTATTCAGTAGGATTCTTTCCAAAACCTGAATGCATTTTTATCGAGAAAGAGCTCCTGAAGGACGCTTCTTAAATCGCTGGCTAGCCCACCATCGAGAAATACAAGGTTTGTAATTAACATTCTTTCTTGCGAATAATAAAAATATATACCCAGTTTAAGCGGCGCTTAATTTGTCGTCTTTCTACACTTAACGTTCCAGCGAAAATTACACGAACTTCTGTACTGGTCTGTGGATGAAATGCTCTGCTAATACCTGAAGATGTTGAATTAAAAACATACCGGTTGTGGTGTTGTTGCTTGCGGCGACTGTCTCAACATGGCTGAGTATAATGAAGAACACAACATGCACGAATGCGGGCCAACAGAAAACCCTCATGGTTTTTACGAGAATTCTTCAAGAAACGCTCCTTTATCTGTTGCAGATAATGATATCCTATTTCTCGAAGATATCACAGCGCTTTCTGGAAAAACTTGAAATAATTACTCAGTTCGAATGAAATATTTGACAGGCTTTGCAAAAATGCAAATTTGTCAAGTTGAATCACATGTCCTGTACGTGTGTATACCTTGGAGATTAGTCTCATTTATTATTTATAGTTGACACATGAAAAACCTGTTTAATTCAGTAATACTATTTCTCGTTCAATTTTTCTGAATATTCGCATCGGTCATTTGCACAAGTTGTTAAAATCTCTTTTCAGAATTTCACAATGGAGAAGTTTGTGTTGAAAAAGTAAAACTCCTTTTCTCTACGTTTGCGCATGAGTAGAGAGGACAAAGACAGGTGTTCTTTTTCAGATGCTTAGAGACGTATGTAAACTGTTTTTGTATTGCAAAACTGGACATGTAAATGCGACGATTGTTATTGGAACAACCTGAAGCAGAAAGAAACACGCTGAGCGTATAGAAACAAAGAAAATGGAAATAGAACAAAACTAAATACATGAAACGTTACTAGTTCAAACCTAACTCAAATATTTCCCATATATTTTCATTTGTTTCAGAATCATAATTGAAATACTCGGTAAGGGAATGATTTTTCCAAGTCATTAAGAGGATCTCAAATAGTAAAATTAAAAAATGGCTGTTACTAAAAAATATAGAACAGAACGCGAGTGTTAATTTTAATTGGAAAGAAGAAACCCCTGACAGAGGAGACAGAAATCGGACAGGGAAAAGTTTCTGGTTATATTCCAAATAAATAAATAATGATTCATGACGATTACAAAATATTCTCATAGCGGGAAGAAAGGGGGGAGGGTGGTATTACGTCTATAGATGCTGAGGATGGGGTGAATGCGTTATGTGTGTCATTGAGTAAGTCGCAGCATTCCGGCTTGTCGAATCGCAGGACATGTGTTTTAACATAAACAACAAGGCGGTGATCAACCAAGAACTCAGAGGGTTGAAAAATACAACGCATTTACTTCTCCACTGGTGTTCAAAAATTAATTTCTCTTGAACAGTTTTTGTCAATACCTACGGAAGCTAACTTTTCGTGAGCCAGAGAAGTGAGATGGCACATGGTTTTGGGGGGGACAGAGGAGGGATTAGTAGTCGTTAACAGAGTATGAAGGGGGGGAGGGGGGATGAAAGAAAATTGACTGCCAATGAGATGGATCATTTGAATACTACGGAGCCTTATGGGGAATCAGGTAAATTTTATTTTGACAAAACCAAAATCTTCCACCCCACCCCCCCTCTCCAAGGCGATAGATAATTAATGATCGGTCCTTTAGGCAATAGATCCACAGCGCGCAAGCACCAATCTCTAGTAACGCTGCGATAGTCAAGGTGCTTTCAAAACAGTCTTACTCTGCTCTATTGCACCAAACCACGCATGCACTTGTCACTCGGCAGGTAACACATTGCAAAAGTAGAATTGACGACAAAAACCGTTGAGACGTGAAGACAATGCATGGTGGAACTGATGTATGTGGTAAACATTTATAATGTTGGGAGTTTTTGATAGTAAAAGAAACTAACTTTAATCAGAAGTTCCTCACCAGAGGAACGCGACATGATTAGAACTAACTTAAGAATACAACTCTAAAAGCGCAACTGTGAATTCGTCGCCAAGATCCAAAGTTACCTTAATTTCAAAACAGAATCGCATCACTGAAGCGAAAAGTGTAACTAAGATTACTCGCATTTCTTGGTTAAGAAAACTAAAAACATTTTAAACCTCTGCCACTTTATTGAAAGGTAGTTTTGATCTTTTGATGAAACCATTGAAAAATTTTGTTATTAAACGAACTATTAAACGAATTATAATATTTTGCACAATTATTTGGTACACTTCGGCTCAAATAGGAAAGAAAACTCACCAGTTTTGGAAACTCATCAAACCATGACTCAAAATAACCAAGTTGTTGTGTCGAATATTTTAGGCAAACTCTGACACTTTCAAATGGAGGTCATCTATTCTGCAAGATGGAGAAATATTAAGAAAAGAACTGTATCTAAGTTTCCCTCTGAGACAGAACTTCAGAAATTTGTGTTTATGTTCCCTTATATTCTCTCTAAAATGGAACACCAAAATTTATCTTCAGGTATACTGAAAATTATAAATTGACACCATGAACATGTACTACATGCTGCTGGTGACTCTAGTGTTGTCTGAAACACATCAGTGAAGTTTTTGTTTGTGCAATGGATTGGTTAGGTAGCCTTTAATTAACCAGGGTGGTGGAGGATAAACAGTAAGGTGAAAAACTCATCATCGAATTTTGTATCAGCGAGACGCTCAGTCAAAGTGCGTGACAAATCGGCTAATGGATGATTCTTCATTTGCCTTCCACTTTTTTTGTACTCTGCTTTTCAGCGTTTGGATTTTTGACAATTTGTTTTCATCTTCGAACACTCTCGTTCACAAGTGATGTTTACGCCTCAAGCAGAGATAGATTCCCTCATAACAGTAAGTTAGCGGATCATGGAGAAGCTGACATCATATACCTTGTACAAGCACAGAGTTGTCTAACTGAGCATTACACTTCATTTATAAAATTAGAAAGTAGAACTAGACGTGATGTTTTAGTGTTGAGTTGGGGCAAACGATGTCACGATTTGTCCACAAATCTAAGCAGTGTGGTTTACATTCATGGTAAGAATACTTCATGGAGTTCAGGGCGAAATTTGTTGTACCATATGGCTTTGCAGAGGAATAAGGGCTATCTATACTACGTTTTCCTTGATGAAGATATCGAGTTTATCTTCACATCGAATATGACCCATGATATGGGTTACAAGGAGGGAACTAAACATCCACTTGAGGCCTTTGAAAACTTTCTTCTGGAATACGAACCCGCAGTAGGTCTGTGCAATTATTGCAGTCGTTGCGGGAAACTAGCGGAAAACGGCTCCTACTATGTTCCCGCACTTTGTTGCTCGGCGCGCCCTGCAACTGGAAATCTCCCGCCGATTTTACCGGTTACAATATCTTTTGACGCCGCTGTGAATGCATTTCATACCAAGGCAGTTAAACATCTTCTGCCTTATAGACTGGACTACGAGGAGATTAGCTGGTGGGAGAGCCAAAAATACGTTATTTTAAGGTCAGATATTTTATTTCGTGGTCAAGTTATTCGCTACACGCCGGTGACTGCCATCAACAACGAGCACAGAGATTATCCTCAACGACCAATCGACAACTGGGGGAATATACTGCTCGATATAAGGAAACTCATGCCGGAAAAGTACAAGAATCAAAGCGTTTTTAGTAAGAATCTGGAAGTTGACATGATTCCAGAAATCTCTGGCAATTTCCTTTCCACACCGTTATGGAATATTTCAATTCCTGGTCCTAAAGTACCGATTCAACCTTACAGTCATTTCCATAAATAGCATGAACAAAAGGCAAAAATTTAAAACATTATAGGAAATTTTTGATAATTATCACCCACTCCTGTCGTCTTAGAACCTTCAGATATTCTTACATGTAATAAGGCTGATTTGTAGGATCTGTTCTTTCCTTGCTCGCTTCATTTGCATTTAATGTTTTGGCGGTAATAGCCCGTTGAAATGGAAACCTGAAAAAAGTGAACAACCTCAGTAAAATGGGCGCTTGAATAGGTGATGATATAAGCTTACTTTTGGTATTTGTCTGCTCTAAAACCGATCTTAATTCATGCGGTTGAGGAGAGTTTAGGACAAAAGTAAAAATAATCTAATAATCACTATTCTGTTACCCCCAAGTGATAAAATGATGACAAATTTTTTGAGTGAGAAGGTTGAATTTTCCGGTAAAACTGAAAAAGGACAAAAGCAACATAGCTAAATAAAGACATGCCCGTGCTAAGCAGTATCACACAAATATAAATTTCAAATTCTCAGCATGAACGTTTGGGCGACTCCAATAAAAATCACCAAGACGGAGAGAAATATGTCACTACGAGTCATTTGGCTGAAGATTACAATCACTTAGTTCCCTATGAGAATTTTTTTAACTTAAAGATAAATAACAAGATTTCACATCAAGACGAGTTACTTTATTTACTAGAACTTAGATCACTCATTATTTGTTTTACATTCTTCTTCATGTACGCTATCTCAAGGGTGTCCATCAAATCATGATCATTCTATTTCTTGCACAAATCTGGGTTAGTCTTCATCGAAACTCTGGCGGTTGTCTCGTTTCAACTGTTTTTTTTCGGGAACACTTTTTTCCACTGGTTTCAACCTGGTCAACAAGACGTACTCTTTTGAGTCACTACTCTCTTCTTTAGTTGTCATGGCCTCATCTCCTGGTCGAGGGGGCCATTCAATATTCTTCTGAGCGTTGGTTACTGAAAATGTTCATGTAGAAGAAAAAAAAGCTAGATGAAATCATCAATTCCGTTGTAGAATTCTAAGCATATTTCGTAATCTAGTCATGAGTTAAGCCTTAATGCCAAATAAAATGCCACAGATAAAAATAAAGAAAGCTATAGGGTGTGATTCATACCTGTAACACATAACAGGACTGCAAGTGAGATAGAAATCCACATATTAGGACCCATGGTGAAAATCCACGTTTCTTCGAAGCTGTAGAGATGTTTCCAGACTTGCTGCCTTCGTTATTTAAAGTTGTGAGATAAAGTGCGTGGTCGGAAAAAGCAAACTTCAAAATTCCGCAACCGCTAACCAAATACTCCACCGGGAAATTGAAGCACTTCCTCAAAAATTTAGGCTCGTTACTACTTGTGAAAATGAGATCTACTTTCGCTTAAGGGTCAATCTAAAAACCTCAGTCATACATAATGGCTTCAGTGCACTATGAAAAAGTTCTTTTTAACCGTTCTTGGAGATCAGTGTTCATATTTGTTAAACAAGGTAGTTATTCCTATTACATCACCAAATCCCGCAAGAATAATAATAATAATAATAATAATAATGATAATAATAATAATAATAATAATAATAAACGGTTTTAAGTAAAGATAACACGCCATAAAATCTCACTGCTTGATTTGACCTTCCAATCCTTCTGTTTTTTGCGCGAATATCAAAATTATATCTCGGTAATTTACGAAGTTCCGAAACCGATATCATAAATGTAATTTATGTAATACCTGATTTTCTTTATGCGTGGTGAATAATATCTAATTACAATATGTATCTGATACATTTTAAAAATAGAAATATATTCTTTTTGAGGAACAAATCAGTGGAAACGGTGGGCACAAAACGATTAAACATGACCTGAGGTACAGGATTTTTTGTCGATGAGGGATTAACTCATCAGCTAGTAAAATGTGCAAAAAAATACGCGCGGTTCTCTATTTACCTATGAAAATAAGAATGTTTTTTTCTTTAGGATTTTCTTTCTGCAAATTTTATAACCTCGTATATATATCCTAATAACATAAATGGGTATGATTACTATAAAAAGTGCAGTTTCGACCGAACGGTCGGTTCTGTAAATGGTTAGCTGAAGAATTAAATAATAGATTGAAGCATATCCCAAGCAATTTGAAGCTGTGTGGTTGATTACCAGCTTCAACTAAATATGAATATCTATAGGTTGACAATGTCGTGCATCTATCAACGGCTTTCATTAGGCGGCTTGCTAAAAAGACTCAATTTCTAATTGACTGTATGTTTGTAATTAATGAGACGTGATGCGGAACCTTTTACAGATCTTGCTCAATTTCATTACCTAAGTGGATTTCACTTCCATTATTTACCTGGGAAATGATAGTTGCCGAAAATATAATAATTTTGCAGTTTTTCTTTTGCATGTTTCACATGTTAGTGTTGCATGAATTGGAAGCACAAGATCAGCTCCCACCTGTGATTTTCAACGTTGCAGTGGGAACAGTTTTTAGCTAAGTTTGACGTTCATAAGGGAATCATCCCTGCAGTCGTTTAGCATTTTTCCCTTCAAACTCATGAAGATTTCTTTTCTTTGTGGCCTTTTGGCTTTCGTTAAGAAAAAAGCTTTGTGTCTTCTAAAAAGAAGTGATATAAATTATGAAAGTGTTCTAAGAAAAAATTTCGATGGTTTTCTATGAGGAAAACGGTGTTAAATCAATTAGGAAGTTTAGTTTACTATCTACCCGAAATATCTTGCCAACAGTGATTGAATTTTGATTCCAACGACGTCAAAATTGAATTAAAAATCAAGCCTAAATAGCCTCAAATTGTTGCGTCTCAAAGGTGATTCTCTCTGGTCCATGAACGTGTAGATAAATTAACCATAAACAGAAATTATAGCTAAAACTAATACGGCAATACGGTAATACGGTAATGTAGCCTTTTCTTTCTTTTCAAACGCTGACGAGAATTCTTGTTGTCAAAATCACTTCTTTTTGACGATAGGATCACTTAGATCAATACTCGATTTGAAAAATTGAAAATATATTGGTGAGATATAAAAGAATGAATAAAAGAGGCTTTCCCAACTTAAGTCCTGAAATGACGAAATTACTGCTGTTACGATCTGAGAAAACTCTATCCAAGATCATCAAAACTTATAAATCGCCAAAAAATATACTACGGAGCAAAATCACGCTAATTCATTCAATCGACAGGAAAATTCAAAAACGTTTCCTCTTCCTCATAGTTAGAGGAATGACTGTAGCTTCTTTATCACTTGGGGAATTCGAAGGATTTTGCAATTGGTTGTGTCACGATAAAATTTACCCTATCCCCATATGAGGCTCTGTAATATCGTAATCATCTTCCTCCATAGGCAGTTAACTGGCAGTAAATTTTCTTTAGTTCCCCCTTCAGATTCTGTTGGCGACGGTCGATCCCCTCCCCCCTGAAAACCATGTGACCCTCCCAAAATCCTTCGACTCCACTCAGGCGACAAATAATGACCGGTCCCTAAGGTTTGTTTGCGGTAGGAGGAGAAAGATCTATGAATCACGAATGAAGATCCTCCATAACAGGACAGTTCATAAACCTCTGATCTTCACAGATACCTTTATTGAGACTCCAAGCTAACGTTAAGCAGCAGTCGCACTTATTCTGGAAGCGAAAACGAATCTAGCAAGGTGGGGGATTGTCGGATAATTTTTTTTTGGGGGGGGGGTGAGATCACATTGTTTTCAGCGGAGAACGTAGAAGGGATCAGTCTTCTCTGACATAATTTAAAGAGGGACTATAGCAAATTGTTTTTTGGTGGGGTACAAAAAATGAATAATAAGAACTGTCCAGGCTTTATGTTTATTTACCCTCTGTATTACAATAATTTCTCATTCTCAAGACTGTCCGCGACATCATATTTTTGTCTTTCCTATTTGCACTGTTGACGAGTGGTTAGTTTTCATCGAGTTTTTGAAATTTAAGAACATCATGTCAGCGGTGCTCTCGATTAATGATCTTTCTACCCCGGAGAAAAAAGCGTGCTCCAAGGCCTCTAGGAATAGTTGTCTTCTTGCCAGGAGGAGGTCCGTGAGTCCAAAAGCAACAACCCACTTTGTGAATATTTTTGTCAAGGGCTGTATGATGAGGTTTGTCAGCGGCCCCTGATGAACTAGATTCTTCCCCGTTGCCTGAACTATCTGCCAGGGAGGTTCCTGTGTAAAGCCAGAACAAAATGTCAATTCTTGATTTTGATACTTTTTTCATCTATTGATAAAAGGTTCATTTTAAGCCGATAATCTGATAAATTTGCTCTATTTTTTCGTCCTTTGGAGGTTTGAGTCTCGAAAGAATCACAGAGTGTTTTTAGCACTCCATGCTAAACACACACAGAAAAACATTCAATGATTACCAACACAGTCAGAAGTAGTTTCCATGCCTCTCCCGACACAAACCCAAAGGATATCGGAGGCACTTGATCAACAAATGGTAATGACTGACGAGAATGGGTGCAATGGGTATTGAAAGGAATCGAAATTTTTTTTTTTAGTTGAACTAAGATACAAGCGTAAATACTGTTTAATTGCCACCGTCTATTATTTGAAACTACCGGCACAATTTCTAAAGATGTCTGACAAAAAACAAAACCTTATTTCCAGTTACTAGTAAAAAATCAAATTTGACAAAAGATCTTTTGTTTAGTGGGTTGAATTTCGAGTTTAAAACGAAGAGTATTTTGATTATCTTTCAACTTAAGGACTAACTAGACAAACTATTAAAATAGTTATTTGTGTAATATTTTTAGTGCAAAATTAAAACATCATCTCATCTATAAGGAAAGCACAATTTAAAGAGGCAGGATTCAGAAAACAGGGCGCAGCAGGTACATACATTATTGTAAAGAGATCATTATAACAAAATTACTGACTGGAAATGATTATTAACCTTGGCTAGGCAAGAAAATGATGTCTACGAAAATAATCGCAGGGTTCCTCACAACAAAGTGGAACAATATTCAGCCAAGCTGGTACAGTTATCAACCCTAACACAGGGCGATAAACCCCGTGCTAAGATAATCCATAACATTTGATATTCTTTGCACGCAAATGTGAATTTCACGGGCCGTTCACGAACGCAACATAGCAAGCTATCAGAATGACACAGGCGTCATTAAACTTTGCTTTCCTCGAGCAGAACTAGTCATAAACATTTCATTACATTCTGCCTTCTGTAAGCAATTACGAATGATTTATAATTACTGAGAAGTCTCCTTTTGACGTTATGCTGATTTCTCCTTCGCTGGCATAGCAGTTCTCTTTGACTGAGATAAATTCAATTACGCTTATCCGGCAACATACATAGAGAATTAAATGCAAGGCGTACTATACTCAAACAAGTGGATATCCATAATCTTTCAAGCCAAAACTGTCATTTCCATTTCTTCCAGATTGATTCCGTGCAGTAAAAGTTCACTGACTGTATTCTAACTCGTTTATTTCCCGTTTTCTGCGGAAATTTCTTTTTGTTTTAGTCGACATGACTCCTCTTTATTCTGTTGGTTCTTTGTCTCTCTTTATCTCTATCGACTGGAAAAGTTTTGCCGGGATCTTTGCCTTTTTCTAATTCAGAGACGTGTCGCTGATTCCCGTGGAACTGAGTTACATACGATGTTAAAACTGGACACCTACATGTATCATGCTGCCAAAATGAAGTTGTTCTCTGAACTTTTTTGACGAATGATGTATGTTAAAAAGGATTTGAACATATATTCAGTTGAATAAAAACCGAAATTGTCCTGGACATTGATTAATGGTAACATGCAAGCTAATTGTATAGAATCCTCACACGTTCATTTCCGCGATAATTTAAGAGGCAATAACGAAATCTACCGTTTATATGCGGGGGTTTGTCAATAATTAATTTTTTCCTACGTACAAGGCACAACTGTGAAGAAACGTGCAGACAGGAAGTATTCAGAGAAGGAACAGAGGAATAACGTGATGAAGAAGTTCTTCCTTCTTATTCAAGTAAAACTTCACTCCAATCAATTACCCGAATTTCACTCGAACAATCTGTGCTATTAGGTAAATAAACTGGACAGGATATTTTGACAATAAAAAGGCAGAGCTGTTAACGTGGAGACAGGAGGTGTTCAGAGAAGGAACAGAGAAATAACGCGATGAAGGAGTTCTTCCATTTCATTCAAGTTAAACTTCACACCAATGATTTTGAAGAATTTCACTCGAACAATCTGTGCAGTTAGGTTCATTCACTTAGTTAATGTAAGCCCAAATTGATCTGATTATCAAGTTATACCAATCGAACAGGTTTTATCACCTAGTCTCACACGGAGATTTTACTCACGTTCTCACAAATTGTAATCAGCTTGTGCCTTACACCCACTATCCTTCTTATAAAGAAGGACCAATGAACTCTCAACAGAACCGCATGCAAATAGGGCCAAGAAACGTTGATTTGAATAGACATAGTAGCATCTCACCCACAAACTAAAGGGTTGAACCACTTTGTGTAATATCACAATATGTAGTGCTGAAACTTCTGCTCGGTTTCTTTTATATGACTGTTCACACACCGTGACCAGGGTTTCATTCACAGACTGAAGGTTCAGAGCGCAGTACACGACTTGCTTAAAAGCTGCTATATTTTTGTAATAGAAGAATAACACTCTCAATAAAGAAACGACAACTTTGAGTTAAAGTTACAAGACATGTTTCTACATTCTCATGTCATCTTCAGTTGCAAACGAGCTTCCAACGGTTGTACATTTGAATTTATATTTAGGTACGTTACAAAGTACGTGTCAGGGCTTACGTTACAAATTGAATATAACACTGCGAAAAGGGTTGAAAATTATGACACATTTGATATTCTCTGAGCCATGAGATCCCAGTATTTTATCTCTAACTTTGGAAAAAAGTAAATAAGTGTGTTGAGAAAATTTGGTAATTGACAGATTACGCTACTCCGCTCACATCACTTTGATATACAGCCAAATTCTCAAAACATTGCGAAGAAAGAAGGTGAAGTAATTTTGGCAGTGAATTTTAGAACCACGGTTTTCACTTTTGCTCTAACCGATGCCTCCATCAAGAAATTAATTTGGAGGCGAATCTCATAAGATTTGCAGAATTTTTAAACTCAGCACTTTTATCACAGTCAGTTACACACGTGCCCCTCTATAACGACTATATCGAAGCCGAAAAAACTCAAATAAAGGATTTTGATCTCAAATAAATATTAATTAAGCTTTACAATCTTACGTTTTTAGGAGGGAAGAAACACTGAGAAGAGGAAGGGGAAACAGTTTGGATTCAGTAAAACGAAAAATGACTTAGGTAAAAGAGCATTGACTAACAGATAATCACTTTACAAATTTAACCTAGTTTAAACGAATACATAAGATTTTAAACGAAGGCGGACAGGCTATGATTAGGTTTGAAATTAGTCTAAGGAAAGCCGGTTTACCTGCCGTAAAGATTAAGCTGCATAGAAAAACTGCGATGAATGTCCTTGGACACATTGTCAGTATCTGCCAAGGCCCAGGTCAGCGTGCAAAGCAATGGTGACAGTGAAGCTGCATGCACTTAGCGTTGGGTATTTATAGCCAACTGGTGTTTGCGTGGTCGGAGAAAATGGACATCAAAATTCATAAAACATAAACTAAACTGTGTACAGTCAGGAAATAGAGGAAACCTCTTAATCAGTTTGAAGACTATTTCACGAAAGCTCACTAAAGGGTAGCAAAGACTATTGCTAGAGTACTTTTGAGTGCCATTTCGCTTCAGGCAATAACTGAAAACAAAGAAATTGTTTGTACAATAATGTAAAATAAAGCATATTTTTGGCTGAATTTTTTTTCATATTGAATAGAGGAGGAATTGCTCTAAAATCACCGGGTTTTGGACAAATAGTCTGAAAGAATTAATGGTGTGGAAAAGGTAATATAATTTACAATTCCTCTTTGTAAATAGGACGGCGTCAGGGAAAAGCAAATTAATTGAAATTTCTAATAGCGAAGGTATTACATGATAAATTACGTGCTAAACACACATTCGGCTCTGAAAATGAGCAACAGGACTAACGAGATCTAAATTTCAATACCGCCTCTTCAAGTAAATATAGGGAAAAAAGCGTGGTAAATTATGAAAATAAAGCTGGCGAGTGCAACCCTCTTTAATGGGCTCTAATGGAGTGTTGATTACTATTGACAAATTTACAACATCATTACTTGAGCTATGAATTGTCCTGTGTTTGTGAAAGTATGATGATGCTGCAGCTAGCACACTGGAGGCATAGAATTAACAACACAATACATGTCAGTGAAACTAATGGAAATTAAATCTTTTTTTACTTTTTCGCTTTACAATTATGGGCCACAATTTCTCAGACAATTTTGGGTTACTAGTTTGAAGCAAAAGGAACGTGTCATAAAAAAAAATCACGAATAAGAAATATTATGCAAAGTGCATTTTATGAGCTTTTATTTCCGAAATAATTTTTTCTTTTATTTGAACTTTACATTTTAATTACCCTTTGTAGTCGCAACAAATGTAATAGAAAATAACCTCCCCTTACGAAGTTCAATTTAAATGGCACGGAAAAGCTCAGCAGTAAGGAAAAGAGACCAATTATGAAGAGTTGAAGCTGAAAAGTGAAAAATCATACATGTAATAAATTGGGAAAAAAAAATATCAGTATATAACTTCACGCAAAGGGTAAAATCAGTACGCATAACCAAACATATAATGATAAATAACGAGTTTTGGCTTTTAAATTGTGGTATTAACACTAATACCCTTACCGTCTGAAAAATTTTAGTGTCGTCTACCCCACGTGCCAGTGTACATGCTTTGACTGGGCAAGAAGAAGGAATAACAAAGTAGCTGCTTTCTCGAATTTTATGACTGAGGAATTTGATCTCATTGCTCAAGCTTCTCAACATAAAATCAAGAAAATTATATTTACAGGGGAACACGTGAGAAAAAGCCAATTTTTTTTTATTAGAATTTAATGAAGAGTGAATTCAGCTGTGGAGCAACAGTAACCACAGTGGAAAAAATCCGGCGGGTTTTATAATCTATCATTTTTCTTCGCAAGCAGTAGTTTGGCGTCAATTTCTGCGAAATTTGTTACGCACCATGCCGTTTCGGCAGCCTTGGAAAACTCAAAACTTCCGAAAAATGTTGACCTTGTCATGAAGCTCCACTTCTCCCTTCCAGTCGTCAATGCTGATTAATTAGCTTTTAAGTAAATAAGAGAGCCATTATTAGCCGATATACGCTCTAAAGGTGAGCTGATCTGACGTTCAGGATGCGAATTACCGGTTTATTGGGCACATATCTCGTTTATAGGACTGGTGGCTCTCGAGGGTGATAGCTTTGTTGTTTCATTCATACACGAGCGTGTCTGTTCAGTTTGTAACCCTTTCTAATCGTTGCCTCCAGATTAAAGGGACAAGTTCCAGAATAAAGAGGGCGAAAACTGGTAAAAGCTGCCTTCAGCTGATAGTTTTGCCATCTACGCTTTTTTCTAGGTGTAAATGTATCTCTTGATTACATTTCTTATGTGCTCTCCCTTACAATGTAGGAAAGTAAAGCGTTCCTTCACATCCAAGAAATTATTGAATGTCATGACTTGCCAGTTTTTAGTGACAATTCCGTTACGCAAACCAACACAAAGTTGCAAACGTCCACGATAAATTTACTAAGGGGAAAGTCAAATAGCAATGTCTGGAGGGCATGTCATTCGCATAAAGTAGGAATAAGTAAGTTCTTTTTAGAATAAATCAATTCGATCGTAATTTATATCTCGCGGGAGAAATTTCGTTCATTTAATTAATAAGATACTGATAAATGTTTTCATCATTTTATTCACTAATTAGATGTAGACATTCCGATTTTTGTACTGATACTTAAAATACCTCACTTAGAGCACAAAGGCAACTTATATGGAATCAACATGGAGGCTGTCTGCGTAAAGAACACCAAGGCAACAGCCGGGGCCCATAGAGGAAAAGGAAGAAGAGCCATAAAAAAGAGTAAAAATTCAAACATTAACTGTTAGGATCATTGAAGGCCAACTTTGATTAGCAGTGAGTATTCGTAGCTGAAAGTGTCTGATTTTTGTACTGATACTAAAAATACTTCACTTAGAGCCCAAAGGCAGTCTATATGGAATCAACATGGAGGCTACCTGAGGGAAATTTTAATCAACAAATCTAAACAAGCGTAAAGAATGCCAAGGCAACGAGGCCCATAGAGGAAAAGCAAGAAGAGCCGTAAAAAGAGTAAAAATTCAAACCTGAACTGTTAGGATCATTGTAGGCCAACTTCGGTTAGCAGCGAGTATTCGCAGCTAAATATAGTGTCCGAAAGATCCCGCGAGTTGCCATGGAATATGAAATTTGACCAAAATATGCATTGTTACCGAAATGTTATACGGTATATTATATGACTTAATTGTAACTTATGCAATTCCAGTGTGCTTTTTGATCAAGTGGGTAACGTATGACGCTGATAAGGAGATGACATCGAATAATAAGACTTCGGGAAAAAGACTAAATGAAGGTTCCCTCTTTTTTCAAATACATCAGCCGACATTTTTTGTCGTTTGACACAGTTCTTGTACAAAAATTACACGCTCAGATGTAATGGATAAGTCATCATTCTGTGTAGAGCGTGATGCGTGAAATTATGAAAGCTTTTCAGTGTGAATTACTCTTGTTAAGTCTTACAAGGTGCGTAGGCCTCGACAATCCGCAAACGAACCACTTGCGCATTTGATCTTCCGTCTCAGCTATGATAAAAGAGGGACCGAAATAGCAGCAGAATAGATTCTAATGGCTAAATGTGTAGTTTCTTAATGGTTAAAAGTAAACAGTTAGCACTGGCACTGGGTGGTATGGAAGTATTGGATTCGTTGGACGTTGCATGCAGATACACGCATTCATGTAGTTTATTTCTTTCATCACATTCTCTACTTATTATTTTGAATTTCCGAGTTCACCTTAAGTAAGGAACTACTGCATTTCCGGGTGGGAACGTTTAGACGTTGAGACCGACAGAAGGAAATTAACTATGTGGTTGTTTCCCACGGGGCTTTTGAGCAAAAGGATAAGGTAAAATCAACATGATCTCAGCAATATCGTCACTACCAACAAACTCGTCACCAAAACAGGAAAATGTACTCCATACTGTTCAAAGAGTAGCATGAGAAGGTTTTCTAACGTAATTTGGGTCACAGTTTGAGTTTTGCTATGAAATTGGAGCGAGGAACTACATATAATTGGTTGGTTGGATGTGTCAATCAGTAACCTTCTATCAGGTGCAACTAATTATAACCCCACTCCAACAGAAGGTTCATGGAAAACAAGATTAGAATAAGATGTATATCCCCTGCAGTTTTTGTCACGTAGCGAGTTAAAAAGCCTAAAAGTGCTATTTTGCTCATGTGCCAAAAGAGAGTAGTATAAACGTAGTATAATCATCCAAGAATGACGCGAAAATCATGTGGCAGTTGGTAATTTTGGTGGTCATTGCGAAAGACAACACTCTGATCGCTAGTGACAATCTGTGATAGCATCTTATGATGAATTGTTAAATCTCAGCATGAGAGATACAAACACGCGTTGACTCTTTTGATGCCAAATCCAATATAAATGAAATAATACGAGAAAAAAAAACATCTACATCTTGTTACTAGTGACCTATGTTTATCTCATGTTTTAAACGCGCAACGTTATTCATTTTCTTAACGCATGCGACGAGCTATGAAAGAGAATTAAAAAGTTAAACCAGCCTCAAATAACGATTCACTTTTGAACCCTTAAATATCCTTTCCGTAGTTATAGTTAACTAAAGAGTTCGTTGTGTCATAAAAAAGTTCTGATTTAGTGGATGGTCAACCTAACAGTAAAGAAGTGATCATTAAAGCTCTGAAAGGGGACTCACAAAAGGCTGATTCAATCTAACGTTACACCCTGGCAAATCAATTATTCGGGCATATTAATTACTGACAAGAAGGTGTTGACGGTAATTCTGTTTGTGGATTGTCTTGTTTGTTATGATTTTCTCCTAGAGCCAAGGCTTTAAGCTTGTAACTTTTAAGAGCACTTTAAAACGATTAAAACGTAATGACTGTAAATGACTCAACATCAGTCACATCAAGGCATTCTATGGATACATTCACGATCAGCGACACTGAATTTTACCCAAAAAGGCTGATAATGAAATCATTTGACCACTTTCATGATAAACTGAAGACTTAACGATGAAAATCTTYCAGTCGAGCTCACGTGACCCCACCTATCTCATATCATAATATTTGTTGCCCCTTCAGACTTGCATACATTCTTAAAAAACAAAGTTGCATCAACACTAAGAATGCTTTTGAAGTCTGGAGTGTTCAAACTTCACTCCTGTGTCTCATTAAAGTTACTTCGAGTTGTTCTGAAGAAAGCTGAGGGCAGTTGAGGGAGGGAGAAGGGGGGA